CCCAGGCTGTAGTGCAGTGGTGCAATCTTGGCTCACCACAACCTCTGCTTCCTGGGTTCAAGCAATTCTCCTGCCTCAGCCTCCCGAGTAGCTGGGACTACAGGCACACGCCACTATGCCTGGCTAGTTTTTGTATTTTTAGTGGAGACGGGGTTTCACCATGTTGGCCAGGCTGGTCTCGAACGCCTGACTTCATAATCTACCTGCCTCAGCCACTCATGCCTGGTATTATAAGCGTGAGCCACTGTGCCTGGCTTGAATTATCTCTTTAAAGCACAAATCAGATTACACTATTTCCCTGATTAAAACTCTTCTTTGATCTCCCATTGCCCTTTGAACAAAATTCAAAGTGTTTTCCATGGTCAACAAGGTTCTGTCTCATCTCAACCGTTCTATTTTCCCTGTTGCTTACCCAGCCTTGGTGCCTGTTCTTTTTTATGTTCCTTGGACATGCCAAGCCTTTTCCTGCAGCCGAACCTTGTAATTCTTATATCTGTTGCCTGCACTCTTTCCCTAGCTTTGCAAATGCCTGGCTCATTCTCATCCTTCAGATCTCAGCTGATATCTCACTTTCTCAGAGAGGCCTGACCCCATCATTCCTCTAAGGCCCTGTCTTATCATTGTGTAATTATCTATCTGCATTGTCATCTCTCCTCAGGAGAACGTTAGTTCTTTTGTGACTGGATCTACCTTACATTAACAATTGTATCCTCTTTAAGTGTCACAGAAGCTGGCTCATAGGAGCTCAATAACTGAGAAGTAAATGAATGGACTCATAATTGACAGAAAGGGTGTTGGAGTCATATTAAAAATGAATTTGAGGTCAGGTGTGGTGGCTCATGCTTGTAATCCCAGCACTTTTTGGGAGTCCAAGGCGGGCGGATCACTTGAAGTCAGGAGTTCGAGACCAGCCTGGCCAACACAATAAAACCCTGTTTTCATTAAAAATACAAAAATTAGCTGGGTGTGGTGGCACCTGCCTGTAGTCCCAGCTACTCGGAGGCTGAGGCAGGAGAATCCCTTGAACCTGGCAGGCGGAGCTTGCAGTGAGCTGAGATCGAGCAGCTGTAGTCCAGCCTGGGAAACAGAGTGAGACTCCATCATCAAAAAAAAAAAAAAGGAAAATTTGAACCTGAGCTTTGCCATTTCTGTATGACTTTGGGCAAATTATGCTATCTCACTGGGCTTTAGTTGGCTCATTCATATAATAGCAATTCTATCTATCTCACAGAATGTTGTGCAGGTCAATTAAGATATTGGCTATGAATGTACCCACCACCATATCTGATACATATTAGGTATTCAGTCCACAACCAGTCAAATAATTCTGAACATGCATAGAAGAGTTCTGTCATGTTTCAGCCTCATTAATAGAACTGTTTGTGTGTTGTGCCTGTGTGTGTGTGATCCATAAGATGCCTATGACTTCCCTCAGGTAACACTTACCTGGCTGGGAAGACAGTTCTAACCCAGGGTGTCAGCTGTTGCACTGAGTGATACTCAATCTGATTACCCAGAGGTGCCAAGCACAGAGCCTTCACTGCAGAGCTGAACACAGAGCCTAAAATCTTAGTGATCAAATCTAACATCGTGTGGCCCAGGCTGGTTGTCAAGATAGATGGTGTGTCTAGACAGTTATCTCCCTTGGGAAATCACAGTTGCTCTAAAAGGAGGCACGTGGTCTCCTGTTAAGAATACAAAACAGGCCTGTGAGCTGTTGAGGGCGAGGTTGCTGCTTGAGGTTGCATGGGCCTATGGAGCAGAGCCGGGGAAAGAAGCTGTCTGCTTCTATACTCACAGGAATCTCTGGATCATGGTGGTGGCCTTCTTCTTCACTCATGTCGGGACAGCAGAGTCCGTGGTGCATGGGAAGGTGGAAACATAGCTATCAGCTTTCCCAGTGGCAGTGATTCTGTGCCTCCACTCAAGAGTGTTGGGAGGAATTGAAAGGCAAGTGTGGAATATGCATTACCTGCTGAGGAGGGGAGCAGAAATCTCCCTGCAACTTGCGTGCTTGGCATGATGATCTAGGTGGCTCCCATCTGAATGCTGTTAGGATGAGTGTTTTAAGGTGAGGGCTCTAGAATTAGATAGTTCTGGCCCTGGGTTCAAATCCTGGAGATGCAGTGACCTTGATCAAGTTATTTAATGTCTTAGCCATAGTTTGCCAATTATTAGATGGAGGTAATAATGACCTGTATCTTACCTAATTGCTGTGAGGATTAGATGATATAGTGCCTGGCACATAGCCAGCGTTCAGTAAATGATCATTCTTTTTATTAGTCAGGATAGTTCAGGATTTTGAGTTTAGTATTTCTTTTTCTTTTTTTCTTTTTATTTATTTTTTTCTGCCCTCTGTGAACGAAAGGTTTGGTACTTCTGATGAGCCTCACCTACACAGAACTTTCAGTCCTGCTTAGGGGAAGCTGCTAGCTATGTGCCTTGGACAAGTTATGGAACCTCTCTGAGTCAGTGTTCTCATCTGTTACATGCAGTTTACAGTTCCCATCTCACAGTGAGGATGAAATAAGATCAGAGCACCTGATACGTAGTTAGTGCTCAAAACACTTATTTCCTCCCCTTTGGTTCTCAAGTATCTGAAATTCGGTCCCTTTAAGCTTGTTAAGATTCCTCACTAGCCTTGTATGCAGCTGTGGGCAGAGAGCTTTGGCAGAAGGAAAGACTTTTTGTTTTTTTTAAAATGACTGTTTCATAATCTGTTGGCTCAAATCTGCTGCTGCCACACCCTATGCCTCTCTGGGTCCCTGCGTCCTGTTGCAGTTATCATATGCCTCACCTTTAACCTAAATGACCCTGGGAAGTGGCTGCTATGGCAGGATTTACTGAATGCAAAATGGATTTTCTTCCTTGCTCTTTGGGGCAAAGCTGGCTCAGAGATCCTTAGCTGCAGGGGGAGGGGCTGGCAGGCCTGAACTGCAGTTGGACTTAGCGGCCAGGGGTTTTCTGGTTTTCATTAAAATTCTCTGGCTGTCTTTCGGGATAGCTCCATTGGATATGACTGTGCACTGGAGCCGTTTGTGCTGTTCTCTCAGCTATACACACCCATCAAATTACAGTGCCCCTGAGGACAAGACAAAATTGAAGGTAGGGAGTGGCCTGGCTGAGGGGTCTTGCTCAGTAATCTTTGTGGTAAGGGGCCTCCATTTATAACTGCAGAGCTTGGGTTTTGCAAAGTCTTAAATACAGATGGGGAGGCAGACATGGCTGAGCTGGGAATGGATTGCAGAGAGAATCCTGTTACAGCTTGCTCTTGAGGACAGACTTGCTCTTGAAGACAGATGGAGGTTTCCTGGCAGCTGTCGGGAGTCCCCAAGTGTTACATTAATGAAAATGGCCTGATATGATTATTCTTTTTTGTTTTTGTTTGTTTTTCATTTGATTTGATCATTCTTTGGAGGTATCTGATACCCTCATATGCCCAAGGGGGTTGGGGGTGGGCGATGCAGTTTTCTGAGGGTGACAGGGTGAATAAAAGAAGTTTGAGATATTTATTTATTTATTATTGTTTTCTTAATTCCCAATGTGGTAGCAGAGGATTCAGTTTGGAATGTTAATTTCTGGTGGCCGTAGGAATCTCACTTGAGACTGAAAGTTAAACCTTCAAACCTAGGTTCAAATCATGACTCTGCTATTAACTTGCTTTATGACCTTGGGCAAGTTACTTTCCTGGATCTCAGCTTCACAGTGTGGTTGTAGGGATTAAACGAGATAAATTATGTAACGCTCTTGGCATATAGAGTGTTCTCAATAAATGGGAGATGTTATTATAAATTGGCCTAGATTTAACCTGTCACTCCAGTTTGCCAAGATATATTCCAATTCTGTCCTGTAAAACATTTGTTCTGCATCCCTCCCAGCTTTGTATCATTTAAGAACTTGAGGCAGGCCGGGCTCGGTGGCTCATGCCTGTAATCCCAACACTTTAAGAGGCTGAGGTGGGCAGATCACCCAAGGTCAGGAGATCGAGACCAGCCAACATGGTAAAACCCCGTCTCTACTAAAAATACAAAAATTAGCTGGGTATGGTGGTGTGTGCCTGTAATCCTAGCTACTTGGAAGGCTCAGGTAGGAGAATCATTTGAACCTGGGAAGCAGAGGTTACAGTGGGCCGAGATCGTGCCATTGCCCTCCAGCCTGAGCAACAGAGTGAGACTCTGTCTCAAAAAAAAAAAAAAAAAAAAAAAAAAAAAAATTAGAGGCAAATTAGTGTTCCCTAGGGCAGGCTGAAGCTCCTCTCCCTGGAAAAATACCTCAAAACCATATTATTATGTTTCCCAATGAGATGCTTAAGATGTCGGGCAGATCATATCTAGGTAACTTAGAAAAAATGGATTTTTCTTTTTTTTTTAAAGATGGGGAAAAAATGGATTTTTCTATCATTGTTGATGGATAGATTATGAGAAAGCCATTTTAATTGATGTTGGGTATAAATGTTCCCTAATGTTACTCCAAGAGAGGATCATTAAGGTTCCTATTTGCTTTTAGGGTAAACTCCTTTTCCAGTCTTTTTTCCTTTTACTCTACTCTTCAAACCCTGTGGTCTAGCTATGGTGGACTGCTTACATAAAAATAATTAATGTGAAACATACAGTGCATATGAAAGAATGTTTTAAATGCATATTTACAATTTAAAGAAGAACATTAAAATTGTGGCCAGATGCAGTGGCACATGTTTGCAATTCAAGCTACTCAGGTGGCTGAGGTTGGAGGATTGCTTGAGGCCAGGAGTTCAAGACCAGCCTGGGCAAAATAGTAAGACAATGTCTCAAAAAATGAAAGAAGGAAAATTGTGAATTTGCCATCCAATTTATCAAATGGAACATTATTAGTTCCCTAGAAGCTGTTTGTCAACTCTCTGCCCTGAAATCATACCCTGTTTCCTCCTCACAGACATAATGATATCCTGACTTTTGTGTTCATCATTCTCTTTTCTGTATGGTTTAACCACCTGTGTTTGTATTACTAAAACAATTTTTTTTTTTTTTAAAGCAAGAAGCAAGCACAAACCTAGCAATCTTTTTAAGTTACTGTTGTAACTTTTAGATCTAAACTCTGGCTCATAATCTGGCTTTAGATTTCCAGGGTGTTTAAAAGACTCTAATGGGGAAGTCAGTGAGCACGGATGTGAGTGAATCCTAGGAAATAAGGATCACTACTATTGAGACATCTGACAGGGTTGTGGTGTGGGCAGACACTGGACATCTGGTAGGAATATGGTCACAGAGAATGCATGGCTCTGTCTTTTCTACTTCTAGTCTCTCTTTGGCCTCCTTTCAACTCTCAAGGAGTAGGTCAAAGCAAAACTCTTCTGTAGCGTAAAGTGAATGTCACCAACTAATCCAAACAAATAGTGTGAAGGAGATGAGCAGGTGCTTCATCAGCACATGATCAAGACAAATAGAGGCAGAAAAGAACCTGGACCAATATGCAGGCTGGGTGGGGTAATCCCAGCACTTTGGGAGGCTGAGGTGGGTGGATCACTTGAGGCTGAGAGTTCGAGACCAGCCTGATCAACATGGAGAAACCCGTCTCTGCTAAAAATACAAAATTAGCTGCTTATGGTGACATCCACCTCTAATGCCAGCTACTCAGGAGGCTGAGGCAGGAGAATCTCTTAAACCCAGGAAGCGGAGGTGGCAATGAGCCAAGATCGCATCATTGCGCTCTAGCCTGGGCAACAAGAGCGAAACTCTGTCTCAAAAAAAAAAAAAAAAAAGAGAGAGAACACATAGCACCACTTTTGGAATATTCTTACCCAAATTGACTCATAAAAATCTCACCAAGCCTCTAGAGCTAACTTTCATATATTGGAAAGATGGGGGAAAGCATGACAAGTTGAATTACACTCTAAAGAAACAAACAGAAAAATTTAGAATGTAGAACATTCTGTCAGACAACTGACTTGGCTTCTGTAACAAGTCAGTGACATGGAAAAAATAATAAAGTGACTTAAGAATTATAACCAGATGTCATGTGTGAACCTTGTTTGGCTTAGGATAGTCTGTGTATTAGTTTGCTAGGGCTGTCATAACAAAATACCGCACATGGGGTGGCTTACACAACAGAAATTGATATTTTCACAGCTCTGGAGGCTAGGAGTCCAAAGTCAGGGTGCTGGCAGGATTGGTTCCCTCTGAGGCCTCTCTCCTTGGCTTGCAGATGGCTGCCTCTTGCCACCTCCTTGCATGGTCATTGCTCTGTATATGCACACTCCCAGTGTCCTGCTACATGTCCTAGACTCCACTTATAAGGACACCAGTTAGATTGGATTAGGGCCCACCCTAATGACCTCATTTTGACTTAATTACCTCTTTAACGGCTCTATCTCCAAATACATGAACAGCCACATTCTATGGTACTAGGAATTAAGGCTTCAACATATGGACATGTGGGGGGACACAATTTAGTTTAATTGCAGAGACTTTTTTTTTTTCTTTGAGACGAAGTCTCACTCTGTCAGCCAGACTGGAGTGCAATGGCACGATCTTGGCTCACTGTAACCTCTGCCTCCTCTCCTGCCTCAGCCTCCTGAGTAGCTGGGATTACAGGTGTGTGCTGCCACGCCCAGCTAATTTTTGTATTTTTAGTAGAGATGGGGTTTTATCATTTTGGCCAGGCTGGTCTTGAACTCCTGACCTCAGGTGATTAGTTCTCCTTGGCCTCTGAAAGTGCTAGGATTACAGGTGTGAGCCCCTGAACCCAGTCAAAAAGAGACTTTTTTTTTTTTTTTTTGAGACGAAGTTTTACTTTGTCACCCAGGCTGGAGTGCAGTGGCGTGAACATGGCTCACCACAGCTTTGACCTCCTGGGCTCAAGCAATCCGCCCACTTCAGCCTCCCAAGAAGCTGAGACTACAGGCATATACCACCACACCCAACTAATTTTTTTATTTTTTGAAGAGATGAGGTCTCACCGTGTTGCTCAGGCTGGTCTTGAACTCCTGGGCTCAAGCGATCCTCCTGCTCTGGCCTTTCAAAGTGCTAGGATTATGGGCACGAGCCACCACACCTGGCATTGAAAAGACATTTAAAAAAATTTTTTTTAAATAGCTTTTGGGTACAAGTGGTTTTTGGTTACATAGGTAAATTGTACAGTGGTGACTCCAGATATTTTAGTATACCTGTCCACCAAACAGTGTACACTGTACCCAATATGTAGTCTTTTATCCCTTACCCCCCTTGCCCACTCCTTCCCCAGGTTCCAAATTTCATTATGCTGCTCTGTATTGCTTTTGTGTGATCATAGCTTAGTTCCCACAAGTGAGAAAATAAGGTATCTAGTTTTCCGTTCCTGAGTTACTTCACTTAGAATAGTGGCTTCCAGCTCAATCCAAGTTGCTGCAAAAGACAGTATTCTGTTCCTTTTTATGGCTGAATAGTATTCCATGGTGTATATATACCACATTTTCTTTATCCACTCATTGGTCGATGGGCACTTAGGTTGGTTCCATATCTTTGTGATTGTGAATTGTGCTGTTACAAGTATGCATATGCTGTGTAAAAAGACATTTTTGAGATGTTGGGGGAAATTTTATGGACTGGGTATTGGATGATATCAAGGAATTGCTTTAATTCAGGTGTGAGAATAGTAGTATAATGTAAGATGAATAATATAGAGATGACTTCTGAGGTATATAAGAATAAAACGGTATGATATAGAATTTGTTTAAAAATCTTTAAACAGCCTGGGTGCAGCGGTTCATACCTGTAATCCCAGCACGTTGGGAGACTGAGGCAGGTGATTTACTTCATCCCAGAGGTTGAGGCTGTAGTGAGCTATGATGACACCACTGCACTCCAGCCTGGGCAACAGAGTGAGGCCCTGTCTCAAAATACATAATAATACAATATTTAAACAAAGAAAAAATAAGGGGGAAAATGGGATAGATTAAGTTAACATGTCAAAACCTTGGTAATTGTTGAATTTTGGTAATGAGTATAGGGGCCCTACTTTTATGTATGTTTGAAAACTTTATATTATATATTTAAAATATTTGAACACAACACACAAGAGTTTAATGGCAGCGGGGTTGTTGGTGATGACTGTTTTCAGTGTGTCTGTCTCTTGAGTTATATGTCTTTAGT